AAACTTGTTCAGTCTTTTTCTAATTGTACTGTCGTCAACTTTGACATTTAACTGCTAACTAAGGCCTGTAGAGTCTGAAATGTAGCTCTTGGATTTTCATTTTTTTTTGCAGTTTCTCTGTTCACTGCACAGTCTGTCATTGGTGTGAGTTTACAGGGACGTCCACACCTGGAAGGATTGACAGCTGTCTTGAATGTTTTTCACTTGTAATTAATCCTCCTCACCGTGGTCAAATTATTTGGAAATCGGTTTATAACGATTGTCAGATTGCTTTGCATCAACATTGGCATCTTTAAGATCACTGCTGACATGTTCCATCCTTGGGATTGTGTTAACACACACCTGAATGCTCTAGACATGAAAACTACTCACATTTTGAATTGGATTACAAGCCCCTAGCAGTAAGACTGTTCTTAGTTTATCTCAGGATTGCATAGAATCAGTCACTTGACTGTCACGGATCTCAATAAACATGCTTACCAAAGGCCCCTCAGGCAGGTTGTGATAAGTATCACTTCAGTTACTTTTCTTTTGTTTTCTAGTCTAGTTTGAATTCTTTTTAAGCTCACAGTTCATTTTAAATAAATAATAACTTGATTTTAAACATACTAAAGATAAACATCACACTTTCTCATAATGATTTTTTTTTGTTCCTTGTCCTTGTTTTTTTTTCTTTGTTGCTGCTGCTGTTTTTCAAATTAACTGCATGATGGCAGTACCTGGGCCTCCCTGATGTAACTACAGTTAGGAATAGCAGATCTTATTCTTAGGATTGAGAGCGTAGTCTTGTATCTGCTGACAGCTTCAAATGCCTCGTTTCCTGTCGTGTTACCACCCTACGGTTGTGGTTATCTGTGTTCAAGTTTTGCAAAAACCTCACAGCTTCCTCGTATTAACAGTTGTACTTAGCAGTTATATTAGAGAGTGGATTGTGTGTCACTTGTCAGAAACAGCAAACATATTGATTTAGATACTATTTGAGTGTGACTAAAATGTTGATTCCCGTTGATTGCTACCAGAGTGTGTCATTGCATATTGATAAGCATTATTTTCCCCCTGTGTTTCAGAGTGTACAGTCTGTGTTCAGATCTCTGACAACTTTGGAGAAGACGGTGGAAAAGTGTCACATTGATCTTGACAAACAGAAGGACCGTCTCACCTTCACCCTGCACTGCAAGCACGGTATCAGTGATTCACTTCATTATCAGATCATTCAAAGTGTTTTCCATATATGATTTAAGAAGGCTTACAACTCATTCAGGCATGTAGAATGGTGCTGGTTTCAAACCCAGAGATGAGGGAACACATCCAGTTCTTACATTACAGGGCGATCGTGGCTCAAGAGTTGGCAGTTTGTCTTGTAATCGAAAGGTTGCCGGTTCAATCCCCGGCTCGGGCAGTCTTGGTCGTTGTGTCCTTGGGCAAGACATTTCACCTACCCCCTACTGGTGAGGGGCAGATGGCGCAATATGGCAGCCTCGCTTCTGTCAGTGCGCCCCAGGGCAGCTGTGACTACAACTGTAGCTTGCCTCCACCAGTGTGTGAGAGTGAATGAGTAGTGGAATTGTAAAGCACTTTGAGGGTCTCGAAAAGCGCTATATAAATGCAATCTGTTATTATTATTATTACATCCTTGCATTGACCTACAGATAAATATAAGTGTTTATAATTCTGTATTTATAATATAATTATTTATCATTTATAAGTCCACCAGTACTGCGGAACCCAAATATATTAGAGATAAGTTCACTGAGTACAAATGTAGTCTGTCAGGCCTGCAGGTCACTTAGTGCTGCACAGAGCTAAAACAAAACTTCTATAATCTCTTTGAAACTTGGTGGTGCTTGGAGGTGCCTCAACTGTAGCTATTTTGAATGAAAAACTACCCTTTTTCATATGGCTTTTACATGTATTTATTAAACTATACAGTACTGTGCTAAACTCTTGAGTCACTCCTTATTTCTTTATATTTTGCTAATAAAATAGGAAATAGGTGCAGTGATTTATTGAAACATACAAACATACATGGAAATACAGTAAATCAGGCAAAAACTGTATAATTGTAACAAGTTAGAAAGTCAGTATTTGCTATAAGCATCTTTATTCTTCAACACAGTCTGAACTCTTTGGCAGCTTTCTTGGTGTGTTTTTAAGTAGTCTTCAGGAATAGTTCTCCAGGCTTCATTCAAAGGTCTTATTTGAATGTTTGCTTTTGTTCCATTCTCTGTCAAGATGGTCCCACACTGCTTTAATAGTATTGAGGTCCAGGTTCTGGCGAGGCCAATCCACGACTGAGAGTGTGGTTTTTTTTTTTTTTATCCAAGTGTGCTTTAACGGCTTTGGCAGTGTGTTTGGGATTATTACCATGCTGAAAAATGAAGCCATTGCCAATCAGACATTTTTTAGTTGATGTTGTGAGGTGGATAAAAATCTGATGATACTTTTTTGGGTTCATAATTCAATTCAGTTTTAATTATATAGCAGCAAATCATAACAACAGTTGCCTCAAGGCACTTTATATGGTAAGATAAAGACTCTACAATAATACAAACAGAACAGAACCTGGGTCCACAGAAGAGGAGCCTAAAAGTAAGCCTGCTGTCTGAGAGCAGCAAGCTCTAATGGGGTGATATGGCACTATAAGGTCATTAAGATAAGATGGGACCTGATTATTCAAGACCTTGTATTTGAGGAACAGGATTTTAAATTTGATTCTGGATTTAACAGGGATCCAACAAAGAGAGACCAGTATAGGAGAAATATGCTCTCTTTTTCTAGTTCCTGACAGCACTTTTTCCACAGCATTTTGGATCAGCCGAAGGCTTTTCAGGGAGTTTTTAGGACATCCTGATAATAACGAATTACAGTAGTCCAGCTTAGAAGTAATAAAGGCATGAACTAGTTTTTCAGCATCACTCTGAGACAGGATGTTTCTAACTATTCTATTCCACAAATGGAAGAAAGCAGTGGTAGATATTTGTTTAATATGTGCATTGAAGGACATATCCTGGTCAAAAATGACTTCAAGATTCCTCACAGTGTTACTGGAGACCATGTTAATGCCATCCAGAGTAAGAATCTGTCTCTGATTTTTTTGGGCCGAGTACATTAACCACAGTTTTGTCTGAATTTAGAAGCAGAAAATTAGAGGTGATCCAGGTCTTTATGTCTTTAAAACGTTCCTTCAGTTTAACTAATTGATGTGTATTATCTGGCTTCATGGATAGGTAAAGTTGGGTGTCATCTATATAGCAGTGAAAATGCATGCTATGCCTTCTGATGATACTGCCTAAGGAGGGGAAGCCCGTGGAACTCCATAATTAACCTTAGTGTGTGAAGAGGACTCTTCATTTACATGAACAGATTGGAGTCTATTGGATAGATATGATTAAAAAACAAGAGTCTTAAATAAATATCAATAGCACTGAAAGTAGCAGTACATAATGTTTTGAACGACTTTCATTCGTGAAGAAATTCATAAATAAAAATTGTAACCATTAGAGAAAGATATTATGTTTCGAGCAGTCATTAGTTCATAAGACTTGATGCAGCTGTCACAGTTATTGTCTAATTTCTCCTGACAGCCACATTTTTTGCTGATCTGACTTCAGTGAACAGTAGATGGATCAGATTTAGGGCCAGATGCATCTCTCAGGTCCTGTATGAGGTCTTTGCTGGATTTCCTTTCCTGTTCTTTCCATGTCTTAAGCCATGACTGTTCATCCACTGTGTATACTTTGGCTATTTGGGAATCACTTTCATGGAGCAAAAATGCGATTTTATGGCTCTCAAACTGTTACCTTTGGCGTTTTTCATAGATACAACTAAAGAAATGGGAATCTGTTACAGGCTGCTAATAACAAAGTGCCTAAAGATACAATTTAAAATGAGTTATTTGCTAAATTATCTGTTAAAATACACAGATGGGAAAATGCTCAGGTGAAAGCACTGGACTGAAAAAGGAATGAAGAAGAAGCCAGAAGACCTTCAGAAAGCCTGGAGAACTTTGGTCAAGAGCACTTAAAAAAATGAGACTTCTACACATTACTACATATCGTATTTCTGTGACACTTTGAATCCATAAATTCTGATTTCACATCAGTTTATAAATAATGTTTTGCGTCTTTTTATTTTATCTTCTGCCTGTAAAGCAACTCTTTTAATAACCTCTATAAATAAGTTGTTACATTATACCTTTGCATCTTGTTTACATTCACATATTTTGTATTTAATGAAGCCCGTCGTGCATTCATCTCATTGCTTTCTATTTGCTCACAAACTTGCTGTGATTTTTCTTTGCAGGCCTATTGAAGACACATAACCTGTCTTTCCAGGACAGCGAGAGCCTGCAGGCAGTGTTTGATAAGGACAGCTATGCCAATGTATTCAGAGCCCAGCCTAGGTCTGTAAAAATCTTTCTTCATAGTTTATTTTGCAAATCATGACAATGACAGTCTCCCACTTGCTTTTAATCTTTTATTTCCTCGTACTTGATGATGACAAACACTGTGTAGCTTTTTTTTAACACCAGGAAAAACATTTTTACATTTCAGTTGGTTGATTAAATGAATAAATAGATTTAAATAGTAAAATATATTTTAAGGGAGGTGTAACTTTGTAGCTGTAGCTAGATTTGATTTCTCTTGTTCTCAGGCTGCTGGTAGACACAGTCGTCCATTTTCCTCCATCTCTGGAAGAAGTGACTGTGTCAGTGAGTGATGAACGGATGTGGGTCAGGAACCATGTGGAGGAAGAAGCAGGTGACAAGACTGATATGAAAAAGTTTCGCCAGCGTAGTAGTAAAGCAGGAACTGACATCTAATAATGCCATGCATTGCCATGTTTTAAAAGCAGCTTTATGTCCTCTTGTTTTTCTGCTCTCTCAGAGGCGTCCAAAGCCATGCTGACCGAGCTGTGTTTGGCTTCAGACGAGTTTGATCATTTTGCTGCCCAAGCTCACAACAGTGTGACTTTTTGTCTGAAGGAGTTGCGGGTGAGAGAAACGATATGGGGAAAGCACGAGAGAGTTGTGTAAGTTAGTTTGGGAGGGGGAGAGAGGTGGTTATCAGACCAGAGTGTGAAAGAAGTTATTTGGGGACCAGATGAAAGCACTTACAAGATGTTGTGGTGTTCTTGTAATGCTTGCATAGTTTGCAAAGTCACTAACTAGTATCTCTCATTCAGGGTTTACTAGTGTTTGCAGAATCAACTGGCCTCCCTGTTTCTATGTACTTGGACGAGCCGGGCAGGTGAGCATCGCCACCTGTGGGTTATGTTTTTTGATTACTTGTTTCTTCCTTTTTAATAACATAATTTTTTTCTGTGTCTGTTTGTGTGACAGCCCTGTGGTGCTTTCAGTAACGGACAGTGTCCTGGAAGGAAACTTTGTGCTGGCCACGCTTTCTGATGATCCCAGCCTTCGTAAAAATAGCAGCAAAGGGTAAAAACGACAAAACATATTTTTGTTGATTTGGGAGGGTTTTTTTCTCATGCCTGTGAGCAGGAAGGAAAATGAAAACAAAACTAGTTAAACTAGTAAACTAGGCAGGAAATTCTAAACATTTACCCTACTGCGCCACCTGGTGGATCAGAGTGTAAATGAAGACAAATGCTGGAGGAGCCCATTTACATTTCATACTCGACATTTCCAGTTGTTGTAAATGGATTTTTATTATTTGCTCCAGGAGTTTAGACCAGGTTCTTAGTCCACTAGTTTGAATAAACTCTTTAAAAAGGGTTTCTCATCTTGTCATTCTGAGGCTGAGAGGCTAAATCTGGAGAACTCATGTCACAGTTAACAGCTGTTTGTAGTTGCATCTTCACACAATAAATGCACTCAGTATATTTATGGGAGTGAAAAACTAGAATACCGTAGTGAATTGTTATGACATTGAGCTCTAAAATTGAAGCTGGTTAGTCATGTTGATTTGTTATTGTTTTGCAAGTCCAGAAAACCAAACGGTCACCATGAAGGTCAAAAGGAGCAAGAAAAGCGTTTTTTAATCTTGTGTGTCATCTTTCTATCTGACTTGCACTCCAAACTGTCTGCTCCACCCCTCAGAGCGCACAAAACAGCTCCACCCCCTCCCGATGACTTCATGAATGATGACATGGACTCATTTCTAATTGCCATGGATACCAGTATTGCACCAGGTCCCTCAAACACAGGTCCACCCCCGCCTTCATTATCTGATGACACACGTTCAAAACGGCCTGCAGCAGTCAGCCACAAGGCAAGGATACTCATCGAGGAGGCAGAAGAAGAAGAAACGGATGATTTAGACAGACTACCTAATAAAAAGGTATGCCTTAGGTTTCTCAGGAAAGATGGTGGCGTGTTAACAGGTTGTGGATTCACTTCAATGAATCAAAAACACAGAAGTAAAATATTCTCACACATACAAAAAGAAAACTGAGTCATCACAACTGTCCACATACAGTCCTCACGTGAAAAAGAAAGTACACTCCTTTAATTTAGTTTTATGTGTCAGGCTGTAACAAAAAAAATCAACTTGTTCTTATTATGTCTTAAAATGAGCTAAATGCAACTTAAGATTAATAACAACTCATGAATTATTATCATTACTTACATGTCTTGCTTTTAACAAAAATGCAAAAGCAGCGTGTGTGTGTAACTAAATATATCCTCACTGCTTCCACAGAAATTGAGTGTGAAGATAAATACAGTAGCAGCCGAGTGCTGCTAATCAAATCCACTTGATTAACTGATAAACAGCAAGTGTGGTCACCTTTATAAAACCAGAGGTTTGGTTGTTTTTCTGGTCTGGAGCGTTCAGGTGTTTGTTAATGCAGTGCCAGGGAGGAAAGACATCAGCAATAACCTTAGAGAAACAGTTGTTGCTGCCCATCAATCAGGTGAGGGTTATAGGACCATTTCCAGTCAACCTGAACTCCATCACTGTACAGTGAGGAAGATTATTCACAAGTGGAAAACCTTCAAGACAGCTCTCAGTGTTGCTGGAAGTGAAGGTCCTGGCAAATTCACCCAAAGGTCAGACCGTGCAGTTCTCAGACTCTATGGGCCTCACGTTAGCATGTTAAATGTTAAGGTTTATGAGGGTGTGATTAGAATAACACTGAACAAGAATAGCTTGTTTGGAGGGTTGCTAGGAGAAAGAAACAGTCCTCTCTAAAAACACACCTTATGTTTGCAGAGTTGCTTCTGAACAAACCACAGAAACCTCTGGAACAAAGGCGTGCACATTAAAGCAGATATTTAATTAAAAAAATAAACAAGTGATTGAATGTTTGTATATGTTCTCAAATTAATTAAATATCGGTATCTTAACATTTCGATAAATTGTAGTCTTTAATATATTTCCCTTGTGTGTGATTTTTCTCACAGTTTCGGTCGCTCTTCTTTGGATCGGTGCTTCCCCCGTCGTCTCAGTTGAGCACACAGCCGATGACTTCTCAAGAGGTGCTGGCCAGCGACAGTGAGGAAGAAACTTAAATAACTGCAGACTGATGGGCTAGAGGAGACATGGACTAAACTGACAGTGGGTGCATGTGCGTGCACTGTTAAACAAAGACACCTGGAGTACTTGAAGATAAAGAAATGAACACAAATTTTCATCCTTACTGGCCAGAACAAGTAGTACCTGGACCTGGATAAATATGCAGAGGCCACCAGCCTCTAAATTCTCATTATGTAAAACTAGACATGAAGCAATTCCAATTTATTTTAATTTTGTGTTTGCCCAGTTTGTCATTAAGGTGCAGTGTAAAAAGTCCCACCGAATAAAGCAAACTTATTTTTCAATGTATGTAAACATCATTTATTATTTATTTACATGTCGAAATGTTCAAGTATGAGAAATATTTAGGATGAGGGAATTCCACATATCCACCAATGTGGAGCTCAAAGAGAGAAAGGCAGTGATGCAGAATCTGAGTAATGTCAAAAATAAGCCTCGGCATAACCAGCAGAATGTCTGTGAATTGTCTGTGAGTCAGTCTTTGCAGGATGAGCAGCGGCGTCACTACTTTTCTCTTTTTGCACTTGAAAACTTTTCCCTCTCGTCTGTGGCTTCTTCCTCTCCTTTCCCTTCCCTTTCTCCAGCTCCTTCTCTTTCTTCTTTTTCAACCTCTCCTCTTCCTTCTCCTTTCTTTCTTGCTCCCTCCGCCGCCGCCTCCTCTCCTTGGAGTTCAGTTTGTCCTCCGCCTCTTCCTCAGCTGCATTCCCAGTCCCTGGCATATTACTGAAGTCTTGAATCAAGATTTTCGGCACTTGCATTTTGGGTGCCTTCTTAGCCTTGTTGTCTTTGTGCTGCTCACCTCTCAGTCTGCGGAAGAGACCAAAACGTTTAGGGGTGTCGGGCTGTGGCTGCTGCTGTGTGGGGGCTTCCTCTGTTGTTGCTGCTGCTGCTGCTGCTGCTGCAGGCGGCAACAGATCAAGAGCAGCTTGTTTTGAGGTCACAGCTTTAGGATTGCACTGTGACTCTGTGAGTTTGGCTTCTGGTTGATTTTCTGAAGTTTTCTGGGGGGTGGTGAAGAGATCCTCGGAAAGCCTGCGGGCTAGCCTGGAGCTACGTGAGGTGGATGACTTGCGAACGCAGAAATCAGCAGATGATCGACTGCTGTGACGCTCAGGGGTTTGTACCGGGGGCTCTTTTGTAGATTGAGAACATTGGACTTGGGGAACATTTGTTGGCTCAGAAGAAATGAAGACATTGTCCTCTCCTGCTGGAGTTTGTTTAACCTTTTCAGTAATTTCTTCCTCCTGCGCGGGCTCCACTTGTTGAACCTTTTGATTTGAGTCTTCAGGATCCACAGTAACCTGGCTTGTTGTCTCTTCAGGTGCTTGTGTCTCAGAGGTACTAATTTGTACTGAACTCTCCTCATCAGGCTCACTGGTGTGGTTGAGCTGATCAGCTGGTGCTGAAGACTCTTCCGTTTCCATGGGTGTTGCAGAGTCTGCAGGCTTCTCATAAGTCTGAGTTTCTGTTGGTGTTTCCTCTGTTATTTTTTGAGTACAGATGCATGAATCACTTTCAACCTGTGCCTCCGAGTGTACATTCAAAATAATTTCTTCTGTTGCCTTATTTGACGCCTCCACTGTGTCTTTTCCTACTGTTATCTCAGCTTTAGTCTCTGTATCATCTACTGCACCAGTGCTTTCTTTTTGTTGAGTGCAATCAGATGAAGACAGCATTAATATTTCTTCTTCTAGCTCCATTTCTGTCTTTGAATCTACTCGTTGTTCTGAATCTACTTCTGTAATTTCTACCTTTGTATCGCACTGTGTGGCTGAATTTTCCTGATTATGTGTCAGAACCTCATTTTCTGTGTCTCTTTGGGTGTGGGACTCTGCTTCCTTTTCTGTTTGTACTAATGACTCAGTACTGTGGTATTTTACTTCAAGTGCACCTTTTTCTGTCTCCTCGATCAGCTCTTCCTTTTCCTGTTGTGTTTCTGCCTCTGCTGCACTATTCTGATCATCAACAGTTAAAGCTTCAACACCTCTGTCTGTGTCCACACTTGTCTCACTTTTAGACTCCGTAACGTCTGTGTTCATCTCCACCTGTTGCACACTTTCAGTGTCAGCACTCTCTTCTGATTTCACGTCAGCTTGTATCCTCTGCTCCTCGCCTGCGTTTACACCTATTTGCATCTCGTCCTCTGTGTTTGTATCTGCTTCGGCTATTCTCTGTGTCTCACTGTGGTTTTCCTCCACAGCAACCACGTGTTTCTCTGCCTCTTCATTTGTGTCTTTGAGCTCTACTTCCTGGTCTTTGCTTATATGACTTTGTTCTTCTAGCACTTGTGATTCACTCTCTGCGTCCAGCTTTTCTTCTTTTTCACAGTGAGGTGCATAATCAGGGGGATGAATAATATTTTCAACAGTCTGATTTGGCCTATCTTTGGACCCTATCTTTTCTTCTTGTTCTGAAAGCATTTTGCTTTCATTTATCTCAGTCAGCTTGGTTT